AGGGTGCAATCTGCATTTTTATTGGTGCATGTGTCTCAATATGGCCTTTTATACTTGAAAATTGTCTAGACGTTGTTCATACTTCCGTTTTTACTAAGATAGAAAACCAGCCGAATGGTTATGACGTTCAGACGCTAATTGATAAAAATGTTCATTTAGTAGTGGCAGATTTGTTTTTTGTCATTATGCCGTCTTACTTGCGTGTCGTTTTCATGAAACTGCAATATCTTAATTGTTAACGACGTTGTATTTTACAACGATAAACCTACTTTCAAAATTAATTATTGAGTCTGAAATTGTGACATTTATTAATTAATTTAATAGTTGCAAGACAAGACGTTTATAGGTTGAGTAATTACCTCTACAATAATAAGCATCTTAAAATATAATTAGCTTGTTTCGTGAGGCCTTATCGATTTTGAAACCTCGTAATATTTTGTCGACTGGCTCATGTAGTTAACTGCCTTTTAATTCTTCGCCATCGATATTCTAATTGAAATAAATACTTAATCGCGTTCATTAAAAATACCTACTGAATTTCTAGAACGTAATTTTATAAACCTTTGAGTTGAATTTCAATGTCAATATTATAGTGAAACACAACAAACAATGTTCAAATAATAAAGTTCAATTAAGTACACAATATGATTAATTTATTCGCCAAACACGTATTAGTTATGCAGAATATCAATATTATGTTTTGATAAATATTTCAGCTTTTGCAAAACCCGAGTACAGTTATTATGTAACCCGAGTTATTATGTTATTGTGTTTTTCATTAGAAAAATTGAAGATAGGTTATATATCCATACAACCTATCCAGTTTCAATCACGTCGCTTAGTTTTTGACAACATATGGATATTTAGAAGTCTTCCTGTGTTGACGTCGAAATCCCTGCAAAAATTGCGAAGCACCTAGGTAACTAACTAAACATACAATTTATTAATCCAAATAATGCTTCAGATGTTTGCTGTTACTGAGATTTAATTCTAAGAATCAAAGTTTTAGACCTTTGCTTCTTCACCGTGTTCCATTTTAATGTCGAGCTCTTGTACATAGTTCGCTATGTTTGTAGACTTAGATAGACAACAGAAACTAGGTTGCTCTGAAAATAAGTTTTATTGTCCGGAAGTTTTACTTTATGGATGAAAGTTCGTGCACAAGTGGAGCTCTTTTCCGTTTGACTCGGAAATTCATCGTGGTTGATGAACGCAAAATAAAATTCTTTTAAATTTGTTAAAATATTTTCTCTACATTGGAATGTACTCAAGAACTCACTATGTTTTTTGTTATTTGATGGTTGATATGTTTAAGTACTTATTTACACAAAAAGTGCGCCGAAATTAACTTTGCATTGAAGGTCATGAAATCACTTTTAGACGAACGATTGTCGGTGTTTCTGTTGGACTTGTAGGCAAGTGCGAATAGTTGATTGGAGGTTATTCAACTGTTGAGTGAACAAAAATAGCGCGATCGCTGCGTCCGCGCTTGCCGTTCTGTGTCCGCTCGACACACGCCTCATGAAGCCGACGCGACGTAGCAAGTCGCCCTGGGACCGCCAACTATACTTCCGGGATAAACTCTAATATTTGAGTTCACTATTCGATCAAGATCGTGTAAAGTCATCAGATCAGTACAACTTTGACATCAGTCCTGTCTGCTATTAACTATTTACAGTTGTTATAGTTACCGTCCAATGTTTTAAATTCTTCGTCTTCAAACCATAACTAGGCCGTCTTTAACTTCAGAAATGCCGCAGTGTAATATAATTTGGGATTTATTGAAATCGTAGTAATAATATAATTTGTCTTGTCAGCTATGAATGAGTCACCAACATGTTTCATGATTTCGTCAGTTTCGTATCTGTTAGAAATACTCTTCAAACCTGAGGTTTCAGCAATAAAATTGAACGTGGGTCGATGCATCAGCATGTTGTGACGTCAAGATTTGATATTGGGATTTATGTTGTCTTTATTATTGCGGTCCTCGGTGCCGGGCGGAGACGGCGGCGGCACGGCTGCGGCTGCCGGTCGTGCTCGGGTCGCGGGGAGGGCGCGGACGCGGATTGCGATATTTATAGAGGCGCCGAGACGCCGGCCCCACACTATCCCACATGTTAATTGGCTACTTGCGCCACATTTTTTCTGGACGTCACCGTTCACGCTCGTACAACGCCAATGCCATCCGACGACCGCGGCGTTTCCGACCGACAAACATTGACACCTATGTAACTGGCCTAGATACGACAGCAGTTTAACGCAAGGGTGACGTTGATACACGTGAAAACAAACAGCGATGACAGTTCAAGACTCTTTCGTAGGAGCTTCCATTAAATAGCAACAGTTCGGAGAGGTACTCAAACGCCTATCAATAACAGTGGATAGTTAATTATATTTTTACGACGAGACATAAATTTTGAAAATTTGATTAAATAAGACTAATAAATAATGAGCCGAACAGGTGACTATTAAAAAGATGAAACTCTAAAATCATTTAAAATTGTCAAGGTGGACCAAAATAGAAAATATGTCCGAGATGTAAACGATGAGTCAATGTCAAATAGTTTCAGAATTGAATTGTTTTATCTCGGCCGAAATGAACTCTTGCAAGAATCTTAAAGTTTTAATATAATAAGAATCTGAAAGTCTTTAGAAATCGTGGTTTAAGTAAATATGTAATTTGTAACGTGTCAGACTTTCTGAGGAGGAGTGAAACTTTATTAATGAAAACAACGCACCGGGGTGAACTACTCCGTTAAAATCATAATCAATTTGTTGTCAATCCCTATTTGTATAATAAACTTACCAAATAAGTACACAATATTAAAATACTCAATGCAGAAGTCGCTCGTTTCTTAAGAAAGTTCTCCTAATCACCAAGACCAGTAATCAACCACTGCCGAACCATTTCTTGACTAAGAGTTACTTAGCGTGAGGGCGAGACTTAAACTAATCCCTTAGCTGTAGTAAAAATAAATAAACATCTAAAACCAAAATATCGATTAATGTCACCTGTCTTAGCATATGGGTTCCTTAATATCTGGAACTGAATAACAATGATAGGGAGTAGTTAGGTGCTAGTTGAAAAACTTAACCTTGTGTAGTCTGCCCTAATCCCTTGCCATGAAATGAACGCTCGAATAAATTCAATACTGTATGGCTTCTATCAATATAGATTTCTTGATCTATCGATAACACTTTGCACTCTTGTTTCTGTCGTAGTGAGTGTTTAAAGAAAATCCAGCATACTTTGATTGTAAAACCTTGACTGACGGAAACAGGATTGAAGTCGGTTCATATGTAATACTTATTGGTCTTTTATCAAGACAAGGAAGTAAATATTTTCTCCAGAACTTTCTCTAACGATCTCTTTTCATTAGGTAATCTAATTCGACTGAATGATCCATTTTTTTTGGAGTTACTGCCATCAGCCCGTCACTACAAACTAATAATGAATGTAATGATATACCTACACCAATCTCATATTAGCTTTCTATTGTGATAAAACAATCCGTGTCATGTGCATACAAAGTAGAGTTATTCATATGTATACATAACTAATCCAACAACTTCATCGCGTAAGTCATTCACCCACCTTACTACGTCAGCTAAGATGTTTTGCATGGAAGCTAATTTGTTGAACGTAAGCGTTGTCAATTTTTTATCCTCTAATACTGAAAGGGATCGGCGATAAGACTTAAAACGATATTCTGCTTTTTTCATGCATGATCTTTCAGAAATGGGCTCCGAACTGTTTTTTTTGTTTTGATGCGTAATTTATAAATTGTTGCACCACTCCAAAAACTGCATTAAGGGAATTCACAACAGCACGTATTGTTCCACGAAACTCATTCGGAGAGGCATTTCCTCGGAATATAAGAAGTACGAGTCACCAGTAGGTGTTACTACAGTACGTGGCAGGATATTTCTGTCGCCCAACCCAATATGTAGGTGGCTTTACGACACTCACATATTTATAAGACTCTTCGAATCATTAACTATATTTACAAAGTAATAATTTAATTAATGAACAACTGCTCCGTCTCTGTAGCTAAGCGACGGATACTTCATACAAACTCAATCTAGTCTTCTTTCGCAATTTATTTATTACACTGTCACAACGCTTACTCATACATTTAAATATAATATCAGAAGTTTTATTTAAAGTTGGGGAAACGCGTAGGTTCTTTGGAAATTACATTAAACAGTGGACATATCTTTCACTACGTTGTATGAACATCTAATTTAGATGCAAATTACTTGTTAGGTACATTTTAATTACTAGTTATCTTGCAGTTTTAACATTGTTTTTCTCGTAATAAACTGTTGAATTAAAAATGTTATTATGAAAGTAACGTTCAATACTTTCTCATTTGGTCCAGTGGAAAGCCGAGATATCGTGGCACGTGCGTGGAGTACACAAATGGATTGTGGCGTGATTCACGTTCTTAGAACAATGATCACAGTGGTCAATGGGACGTTAAGCTTGCTACCATTGCCTTAACACCGTCCCCAGTTGATCGGTTTATTAGTATTCACCTATAGCCAGCATGAATAAATCACTAGGTCCCTGCTGACGGGAAAACTACTCTCTTTGCCAGCTTTAAATAAACAAGTGTGGCAGATAGACGACGACACCTACGGTCGCTCTGACGACTCGCCAAACGGCTAATTGGCCAAAGCTTTCTTCCGAATTCCAATATGACTGTGTGGTGTTTCCCCAAATTATATCAAAGAATGCCCTGCGGTCCGTTAAATAATAATCGTTAGACATAGCGTCAAATAAACTATAAAATATTTTTTTAAATTAAATATGGTTAAAGAATTCTGTCTGACGCTGTTCAGCCTCTTGAGATCACCTTAATAATCTCTCTTGAGATACATTTAGTGGTTTGTAAAGAGTGAACGTTTCCTGACGTCCTATTGTTGAATCGAATACATATTGATAATAATATTTCAATAGAAACTTGTCGTGATAGTGAGTTATTTGTTTGTTACAGTCACAATGGTGGTGGGCGAGAGCAAGCGCACCGCCAACATCATGGACGGCATTGAGAACACCGGTGACGTGCGGATGCACGACCACCGATTGAGGCTCAAACAAAGGTAAGCAATATTTCTTATTTACTTAATATAACATACTTCATTTTCAAATATACATACAAAACAACAAAGGTACTAGTAAAGCAATAGTATTTTTATAAATTCCAGATATTCACAGCTTAGTTAAATTCTGTTTGCACACACAAGTCTTCGGCATTTATCGTAGCCTTTTTACTCCGAAGCAAAACTTAACGTTTGATTTCGAAAGGCTCGTTTTATGTTGTTCTGCTCAGAGTCTTGTTTGTTCGAGATCTAAGAACGTAAAGTTCATACGCCATCCTTACGTCAATGCATGCTTACACTGGTATTATTTTAGTAACGTAACGCATTCAACATGGAACATTTGTGTACGCGCCTGGTATAGCGCCGCGTCACCAACCAATGACCGGGTTTAGGGTGTCAGACTTCACCTACACGATAAACGTCGGAAGTTTGTAGGCGTAAAGGTTGATCGTTACATCATTCATAGACATAATGCATTCAACAATGCTATCGTAAAAGACAGCTTTGACCATATACACACGTTATATTTGCATTTAATTTAAAAAATACGTGGTTTTACCTGTTTATTTCGAATGAACAGGCAAGGTTAAACTCCTCCATAGTTAAAGTCCAGAATAATTAGGAAGTAAAATATATTTTGTTAAAACTATAAATTGGTACGTGCTTCTTTGAAGTTTCTACAGTATCTAGTAGTTCACATCTGATTCATGCTTCCTAGTAATTTTATGTATTCCTTTATCAATGCTTTACCATATTTCATTAACAAAGCCACTTCCTCAATCATGAATAAAATATGTACATAATGCAAACATCGGGTGAATGTCTTCGTCGACGAGGCCGATTCATTTGAATGTTTCTGCATTACTGTACTTGCTAATACTAAACAAACGTGTATTGCGTGCATTGTGCGGCGCGTGGGCAGCGATCGATGCCTTTGGTTCAAGTTATAGGCGAATGGCTCGACGATGCTCACATCTCTATTTTTGTGGGCAAAATTTTTTATCCCTCTCATTATCTGAAAGTCTGGTAAGTGAATGTTGCAAGTTGGGGCAAAAACTTTAGGGAAATGTCTAAATTGGACTATGTTTCAATGTTTCTATGTTCATTTAAGGTGTTCGTTATTATTATAATGATTTACTTGATTGATTTTCATTGTTCCCCTAAGACCACATGGGCATGTATCGTTAACTTCCTGCAACTTAAATGTACCTCTCGAACGCATACCGTTCTTCCGTTTGTCGACGGATAAACATTTAAGGAGCTAAAAATAGCTTTAGTCCGCATTTCAAACAGTCATTTAGTACTCTTCAAATAGGCGACCGGATTCACTTTTTAAAATAGTTATTCCACGCATTACGTTTTACTAGAGATGCTTGTAATATTCGTGTCATAGTTAGTGGTTAAATTCGTATGGGGTAATTTGGGTACTGGATAATTTAACCAATTTAAGAGCCCCAGTTTCAACTGTTGCTAAAATGGTCTTGTTGACATTTGCAATAGAGTTGCTGTAAATCTGAGCTATGCAAGTTATTTAAGGTATACACTATGCAGTATAGAATGGATTGTACATTATTTGATTGAAGATAATACATACATTAAATGTAGGTACCTTTTCAATTCACAAAAATTGAACTCTCTTCTAATGGAACAGTGTCGCTTATTAATTGCACTGTTCCCAATAAAGTGGTGTGCGTTTCCGTGACGCATCGATTTGCTTTATCAATTTAAACCTCGACGCTAATCATTTAAGTAAATTGAATCGTTTTAGCTGCGACCACTTCTTGTTTGACGCTTAATTTTTGTACAATGACTTCACAAATTGCTGCATAAAGGATGATGGGTTAATAGGATTGTTGAAGCTCGTTTATGTGGTGATGAAATGTAGTTTTATTGCATTTACTTCATACCAGATGCTGAACGAAAAGCAAAGAGCAAATAATACCATACTTAACGATTTTCGTACATAAAGTCCACGTGTAATTCTGATCCCAATAATGCAAACATCCCTGACACAATTCCAGATTTATATACAGTACAGTCAGAAAGTCATTGATAATAATTAGGACCATACTTCTAACTTTAAAGTACTTAAGTAAAGCTGAAGTTGTACCTGTTCACTTAGCATTTATGAATATGTATTACAGATTCGATATAGTGAGAAAACTAGGTCAAGGCACGTACGGTAAGGTGCAGTTGGGTATCAACAAGAAGACGGGCCAGGAGGTGGCCATCAAAACTATCAAGAAATGCAAGATCGAGTCCGAGGCTGATCTCATACGCATTCGGCGTGAAGTGCAGATTATGTCTTCTGTCAGACATCCAAATATTGTACATATTTATGAAGGTATGTCCCCGACAATGTTATTTATACTGTAACCCAAACACTTCACATTTTATGGCTAGCTGCAACTGCAAGTTAACTGAAGTAACGTCGAAAAAACTGAGAGGGCAATGTCTCTCTAGACAACACAGTTTATTGTCAACTGCTGTATCGTTAAACTGTCTGGACGAATCCATTTCGAGACAAATGTATACATTTCTTTAAACTAGTCCACTTTTTTACTGTAACTATTCAGAACTTACACATGATCGATGAGACACTATCAACATAAAGCATTCATATTAAATTCCGCAGTCATTTTCTTTGACGTAAGTAATGTTTCATCGTATTATTACGATCTAAATACCGCAGTAACAAGACAAAGACAACTGTAAAGTACTATCAATCGGTGCCAAATCATTTTGTATTGTACCTTTTGTCGATACATTTCGTATACTACCATCTCTGTTTGAAGCAATATGGCGTGCTTTACAACTGTAATATTGTTATGACTAGATTTAATACTCTTATTTCTAATAGCTTTTCAGCAGTCGATATATTTTAAAACTATTTTCGTCTAGTCATAGTAGCTCCGTAGTATAGATTGGACCTCGGTCTAAAGTAGTAACCTTCTATTAGATTAGTAACATCCTCACTACCGTATCCTTTTACTTCGATATATCCTTGTAATAAACAACAAGATGTTACGTCATATTATTTCATTTCAGTATTTGAAAACAGTGAAAAGATGATCCTTGTTATGGAGTACTGCTCAGGTGGAGAACTCTATGATTATCTTAGCCAGAAAAAAGTATTACAAGAAGACGAGGCAAGGAGGTCAGTAGATAGTTTTTTTTATGTATTTTTATTTTTGTATGAAGGTAATTATGAGTGACAATGTTTTATGATTGTTTCAGATTATTCCGACAGATTGCAACAGCTGTGTACTATTGCCATATACATAAAATCTGCCATAGAGATTTAAAATTGGAGAATGTTTTATTAGATGATACTGGTAGTGCTAAGGTTGGTATAAAAGTCTATAATATTTGCAATTCTATAGAAAATCTATGTAGTAACAATTATAACGAATATGTGTATTGTTCACAGATTGCTGACTTCGGTCTGTCAAACGTTTTCAAAGAGACGTCTCTGTTATCGACGTTTTGTGGTTCACCTTTATACGCGTCTCCGGAAATCGTTAAAGGAACGCCATATATAGGTCCAGAGGTAAGTAAAATAAAAAAAATATCGTAATAAAGTTACAGTTAAGTGGTGATGTGATGTTCTTATGTTTTATTACATCTCTGATCGAAAAATATCATTAGATGTTTTGGTTGTGTAATTATTTTCATTGAACTCGACTCCTAACATGGGCCTAAAACGTAAATTGTCCTAAAAGTAAGTGTTTCAAGGTTCGGGTTAAATATTAGAAAAGATCTGTGATTCATACCTGTAAACTTTTCTTTTGTGGGTAAAATGTTTTGTATATTAGTTACTTACAAAAATATTCCTAACGAACAATTCATAGAACATAAATAATAATACGAATGTCATCATTCCAGGTGGACTGCTGGTCGTTGGGTGTACTTCTTTATACTCTAGTCTACGGAGCCATGCCATTTGATGGCTCCAACTTCAAACGTCTAGTCCGACAGATCAGTAATGGAGATTATTATGAACCTAGGAACCCGTCGAGTAAGTTGTTAACGTATTTATATAATTCAGACATGAATTTAGTAGAGTTGGTGAGTTGAATTTACCTACATGGATTTTCGGGGTGGCAAAATGTTCTTGAGTTTTGAAATTTGTCAATAATAACTTAACATAAGTCCGCCTTTATAATATAAACGACACACGTATGCATTCAATATTCGGTATAGGTCTACAATAAACTAATTTACATTTTAAGTGATTGAAGCCCATTTTGGCGAAGGCATTATTCTTTACGAGCCTCCAAACTGTGATTTATTAGCAAATGTCAAGAACTCATCAGATTCCATCTAATAGCAATCATTTCAATTTCTATTATACTGTGTATATGGGTATCAATTAATTTTGCTTAAACTTAATTTTCTTAACTACAAAGACTGTCTTGTTTTTCGAGTCCAACTATTAGGTTCGGAAATGTAATTAATTAATTATACCGAAAATTAACAATATATTACCTCGAATCACCGGTAATCACCATAAACGTATATGATACGAGATTCTTCATAAAAGTTGTCTGAACATCAACGTATTTTCATGTTTTCCAGGCGCATCACCTCTGATTCGCGACATGCTCACAGTTGACCCGCTGAAGCGCGCTGACATCGCCTACATTTGTGATAATCCGTAAGTTGTAACTTGTGTATTACCATCAATCATCTTGTATTTCATGTAAAGTTTAGCGAAAAGTTTATACTTTTATTCAGAACAATATAAGATTCACTAATATTGACAGACGAATGCAGAAAATATTTTTGTTTATTCCATTGAAAGTTGAAATTTAAGAGTGCTATTAAAAAATCTGGTTAATAAGCATCCATGCTCTACAGATGGGTGAATCTGGGGTGCGAGACCTCTTGCCTAGAAGAGGCGGAGGCCCTGGCAGCACAGACACCCGTGCGGTTGGACCTGCTACTGTCGCTAGCCCCCGCTGCGCCTTCCAATTCCAACTCCGTCATGGTGCCAGATGAGGTAAATAAATTCTTAAATCTTAATTATTAATATCCAATATTAGGGGATGCTATCAATATGATTTAAATCGAATGATCTATTATTCCTTGATGAGATATCAACTTCCATTGAATTTTGGCTAGAAACCGCTTATTGATTAGTTTTAACCAGTTATGTGACAAAAAAAATTTTGTTCAGGCTGAACTGGGTCCGGAAGAGAGTGGCACAGATCTAACAAGCTCAACGTCGATGGCTCACATTGAGCCCAGCAACTCTGCCGAGAAGAGGATCCTGGAGTTGGTTGCAGGTTGGTCATCAGTTGCTTATTTTATTACCTTTAATAACAGTCTAAATGTCAGGTTTTACACCTTATTGACGTTATTCATAAATATGTAGTTGAAAATTGAGTGAAATTAGTAGAGGTTATCAGATGTTGATAGACTTTTCTGTTCTAGTTTGTAGGTATATTGATTTCATCAACAGCTGGTTTGTGCAAACAGCTATTTGAATGAAAATCTTGTGTAAAAGTTATCCATGGGAATAATTCTGAATGTGAACATTTATCAACAGAGGGCGGTGAAGACGCGATAAAGCCGTCACCGACTCGCACCATCGTGTCGGCCACAGACAATAAACGCAAGCTGGAGCTCGCCATGTCCGCGAGTGGACTGCAGAGGAAGAAGGAAAGAGTGGCCAGGTACCTTAGATATTATAAGAATATATTATATTCATTTGTAAATAAATGTAAATAATTGAGAAATATAAATAAAACAAATAAATAAATGTGCTCCATTGAGCCTATTGCCATATACTGGGCCTGGGACTGTTACATTGTACGGTGGCCTTAAGTGCCGTAATGTGCACCTCTGCCTACCCCTTCGAGGATAGAAGGCGTGATGATGATGATGATTTTACAACGGACTAAAAACGAAGAATATCTCAACTAAACGTGACATAAATCAATCAAAAATAGCCCAAAGACTGGCATGATATATTCTCTTTTACCGTTGTATTGAAGTTTTGTTTTGTCTTAGTTGTGCAAGCATCGCGCAAGCTCCGGTGCTACCTGAAGAATCGTCTCCTGAAATACTTCCCACCGACGAACCACCCCTGGCTGATGACACGGTAAAGAAAGATCTAACTCAGAAGATATTATTCATTATGTCAATTAAATGAAAATGCCTATATAATGTCATTCACTTAATAAAGTGTACGATTGAATGTTATTTTCTAGCGGGACTACAAATATGGTAGTGGTTTTTCATTATCATCATTTCATGTATGAATAGTACTTCATCATCAGTCGAAAGACGTCCACGTCCACCACTTTGAAATCTACCTAATTTACATACCATTCAGTTAGTTTTACCAGATTTTTTTATTCCCAGGCAATACAACCAAATCTAAAGTCATCAGCGACGATCACAATTCAACCAGCACCAGTGGAATTAGTGAGGGACTTGACAAAGGACATTGTGAAGGAGCCGCCGAAAGAGGAGGAGTCTGTTGAGAAGCCAGCCAAGCCACGCGTCGCTATCAAGAAGAAGACCTCTCCCACCAAGACTGTGGAGGAAAAACCGGTTGAGAAAGTTGAAGAGGTTAAGGTATGTGGACATTATTGTAGACTTTGCAAGATTATTTACTTCATATTCTTAATTTTTCCAACGTCAGATAAATTTTAACTGAGGTATAACTTTGAATATTTGACAATTGTTCTGCACTAAAAACTGTCAAATGTCAATTTTATTCTACAGTCAAAAATTAACTGACGACAGAAAAATAGGCCCTTAATCTAGCAACCGAATACCACTAGTAATGATACCACATTACGCCTCCGATTCGCCTGGTCCAAGTTCATCAACCAATGAGAAATCTAAACGCCTGTTATTTTATTATATTAACCCTTGTAGAAATTGAGAGGCAATATTTCTATAACATACTCTGTTTCCCAGCCGCCCCAAGAAGACACAAAACAGAGCGCAGTATCGTCTGCGGCCGACAAGTTGACGTCACTGTCTATTGCACAACAACCGCCTGCCAACCAGACGAACAAACCTAAGAAACTATCCATACCAGGTACTGTCTAGAATAAACTATTACTTGATGAATATACTTTGTTTATTCTATTAAAATAAGAAAATTGGGGTGTTACATTCTATACGTACTTACTCCCCTGTCTACAGGATGTCTGATGTTATATGTTATGTAGCCTAGAGTTACTAGATCAATAGATTTTTTTTATCTTTCCCCAGGTGGCAATGTCGGAAGCTTCAAAGACCAGTTCGAGAGGCGAGCTTCTCTTACAACGGCTCCTGAAATCAAACGCAACATATCTAAACCAGGTTATTTCTAGCTTATTAACTCAAATTGAAATTAATATCGGCAATTGCATCTATTTCTGGTCAATGTGAATTAAACTGTAAGTCATCACTTATAAGGTACATTTTTATTGTTCACAGTCGTTTCTAAGATCGCTAAGCCCAAAGCACAGAGTGAAGACCGAGAGTTGCCAGCGAAGACACCAGATAACGGCACTGTTCGACTGCAACAAATTGGCATTGAGCCTTCACAGGTAAAAAATACGCCCCGGAACTTAGATTACATGTTACTACTAAATTGTCTCAGAATTTGAAGTTTTCCACTGGGACGTTGCATTTTATCGTATTGTTCTATAAGTATATATAAAAACTAATAAAGTTCGTAGTAAGCATGTTTCATTTAAAAATACAAAAAATAAATTATTATCCTGTTAAAAGTTATTCTAAAGATGAAACATGGAACACTCTTTTCAGTTTGAATTTAGAAAAGCAACGAATAAATTAAATTGATGAATGAAGTCACAGTGTCAATAAAAATGATTCATTAGACAGTGTAAAATGCAAATTTCTATACTAAACTCTACCTTATATGCAACAATAAACAGTCAACGTAACTCTCTATAAATAGCTGCGTGATATTCTTGTGCGATTAAACACAAAAGGTAGGCTAATAAAAGATTTAGATGAAATCGTTAATTGATTCATTACAGGAAATTGGCAATAGATGCTAATGAATCATTTTACTGCAATCCAAATTTGAATCTAGGGATGCATTCGATACCGATAATATATGGGCGATAACTTGAGTTTACCGATATATCGCAATCGACGATATTTACTTTACGATACTTCTAGAAAAGCTGCTCATAATTTCATAGTGCAGTGTCTGTGGTCTCATACATCAAATAAAATATTTCGTTTTTTTCCTCATATTGCTACCCAAATTCATCGAAAATTAACTCGTTTAAATTCAAATTCTATCTGACTGTCCAAAAAGTGCATGATTTATGAGTATTCAGATTAGACGGAAGGACTTACTTCTATGATAATTTATTTGTACGTAGTAGGACAGGCTACACTAATATTCTTGCATATAATCTTCTTGTAACACTGCCGATTTTAACATGAAATCTTTGGAATACGATCGAATTCTGAGATTATTTCTATATTTTTCCGTCAAAAATCAAAATGGAACCACAAATTTTAGAATAAAATTGGTAATTGAAATTGGCAGTTAGACTGAAAGAGAACCTGGGTATAATCAATTCTCGAGAGAATAAATTGCTTATGTGCAGGCTTGTTTCATCTTAGGCTACGTTATAGCTTACCATTCGGCGGGATAGTGGCCAAACGCCGTCTTATTACAAATAGAAATGAAGAAAAAACAAAACAATATTTACACGCCCCCTTATAAGTCACAAACGCCAATTGACTGACGTGTCATATAAACTTAGTAACTCATTTAATTATAAACAAAACATGTGCTTTGGTCAGCAGATAATGCCACACCTACGACCAAAACATCTTTGGCGCCCTCCATCATTTTACTATGGGACATAGGCTGATATAGACGTGCCCTAAACACTAGTTTTTATAGCACTATTGTTCCTTATAACACGCTTGTTTAAATAAGACTCTTAATCATACTGATTAAAAGTTTATATTTGCTTGTTTCCTAGTTATTATGGCAAAGTCGCGTAAGGTTGTGTGTTACATTTCGTATGTGTGGTTGTCACAGAGTCACACGGAGGCGGAACGTGAGACGAACCTCCGCAGTGGCGTTAAGAAGACAGAGAGCGAACCCTCCCACAGCTCCACTTCGGTAGACCCTGCTGTGCTGCTGCAAGATGCTAGAAGGTCAGTACTGTAGAACTTTCAATTAATATCCTACTTGGTCAGCAACACACTTGTGATACGTCTTATGATTCTGATTACTACAAGTATACATAGGCTACAGATCATGATAAACGGCCAATACCATTCTAGTTGATCTAGAAAGTTTTTGTACTGATTGATAGGTGTGTAAAAGAACAGCAGCTGTAGTCAAATGCCATTTAGCGCTTGTCTACATGCAGAATAGAAAACCAAATTATATGGAATTGACGTAAATTTTGACACTTGTCAGTGTCATCCTTATACATTTCGTTTTCTACTCTCTCTGTAGACAAGCGCTAATGTGGCATTTGGCTAAAGGCATAGGTTTAAACTATGCATACCAAATACGCTACGTTGGAGAGAATCGAACTACATAATAATTATGTTCTAAAACATTACAAATTCATCTAAAACGAAATCTATAAAGACTTGATTTTGCTCTCGGTTGTAATATCTAAAAAAGGCTAGATTTAATTCAAACGCTAATGTTAACGCATCTTCAATGTAATTCTGCAAATAAACCATCTGCAGTAGCAAGTTTGTCACATATATTTATCACATACACAAGTCTATAAACAACAGGTAACGCGTCCACATTTCACAGTCATCGCAGAATTCGGCGCCACATACATTCCAAACTTACGTAAGGCAATACGTTAGTACGTGACAATGACGAATGCTGTTTTCTCATACATTCTGATTAATGCAGCTGCGACGGTGATGCCAAGCTATTTATTATAATATGACTAATGTTAAACATCATTCGTAGGAGTCTACAAAACTCTATGGCGAAGTTGGTTGAGGAGAAAGCCGGCGAAGAGAATCGTCGGCGCGCCGCCCGCGATATCATATCGTCTGCCATACGAACAGGTAACAATCATTTTTAATACCGGAACGGTTTTTATGTATCGTATAGTTTTATGTCTCATAATATTAGTTATCTTACGTCAACGTTTACATTCATGGCAAATTTTGTTGTGTACAGCATAGATGTTTGTTGCAAGTAGAACGTAATTTACAATTCCAGGTTTTCTGTGAACGATAAATTCAAATAATATTATTTTTTTGTGTTTAGGTTGTTAATTTGCTATACCCATATTTGTGATATAAAATTGATGTTTACAGTTAGTCAGTGCAGTTTAATATTAATAGAAGTTCGTTTAGTTAGAAATCAGTTACGTTATATGGAAAACGATTAGTTTCAAAATATGATACGTGCTCCCTAAATTCAATCCAATCCATAAAAGATCGGCAATGCACCTGTAACTTCTTGGTGTTGTGAGTATCAGTAGGCGGTGCCGATTGCCCACCATCGGTGATCCGTTGAATAGCAGTGACATGAAGTGATATAACATGGTGTGGTGCAGGCAAGCCCCCGATGCCGTACGGGCGCTCGTCGTCAGCGGGCGTGGCGTCGCTGGTGTCGCCGCCGGCCACGCCGCCCGCGCAGGCCGCGCCGCCCGCGCAGGCCGCGCCGCCCGCGCAGCCCGCGCCCGCCGCGCACGCGCCGCGCGTCTTCCGCACCGAGGCACAGCATCGGGTCGAGGACCATAGGAATGCTAACAGGTATCCACTATACACAATTATGTTTAACTACATTTTTGTAAGAATAATTAAAGCTTTGAAGATCCTTCTCCATAGAACATATTTATTCTGTCACACTATTAACAAAGTGATCGTTATTACTACATCACAGTTCAGTTGAATTTTGTGTACATTCATGGAGATCTATTGAGTTGCGGTATTGATTTGGTGCATCAGTTTATTCGCCTTGGTAGACCTACTGCGCTGTCTTTTTTCAAGTTTTCTTTATGTCTTAACGCGATATTTAAATACCAGGTAATTTGAACAATCCAATAGAAGAATACTATTTCATACCGAATCTTTTAGCGTAATAAAAAGTTTTATTATCCTTTATCTACATGTATACCTGTGTGTTACTGGTCCAGTGCGCGTGGCGTGTCAGTGGAGCGTATCATCCCGATCAGCGTGTCTCCGGAGGAGTCCCCCGGCTCCCCGCCGCCGCTACCTACTACTCCGGCACCCAAAGCTACACCCACGGCCGCGCCCAGGGTCACTCCGCTCAGGTCAATGCAAATTCATTCTTATTTAGCGGTTTATACGGTCGTTTTATACTCCGTGAATATTGTGCAGATACAGTATACACATAGGTAGACTTCATTAATAACCATTATCAACAATCCATATCCATTCACTGCTGGATATAGGTCGACTCTGTAATATCATGTATTTACTTTACACATACATTTCCCTTTCGAGGTTTGATAACCTGTGGTGGAGTGATCTCCACCTAGTTACTAACTAGGTCCATGTCATCCTCAAAGCACATATCACGGAGGAATGATATAGGCCTTACACTCCTTTGGTCGTAATAATTACGTACTTTAACTCAATAATATATTTCAATTATGCAGACGGTTGACATCAACGGAGTCTGGTAGTGCAAGCGAGGCATGCAGTAGTCCGGGCGAGCCTATCAAGAAGTCAGCGCGGGAGTTCATCATCCCCATCGCAGTAGAGGGCAAGGGTTACGTCACGCCGCGACAGCGCAGCCTCGAACCTGAGTCCACGCAACACGTGCCCTCCGTGCGACACCATCGCGCCACCAAACCTAGGCGTATCAGGTACTTCAGTTTATGTATATTGATTGAAAAGTGTAGAAATTACAACTTTTGCAAGTATATTCTTGATGCACTACATACTACTACTACTACTACATTCACAATGGCCCACCTTGTCGTAATAATAAATTAAACATAATTATATAGTATTTAACATTCGATCCTGTTGTCTTGACTGTATTTCCATTCTCACCCATTATACATATTTTAACCTCATAGTTTTCTTTGAAAATACTACTTTTTTATAATAACTATCGTGAGACATACTAAACTATATGTTATATGAGAAAAGCTCTTCTCAGTATATTCACGTGAATAACCCGCGATTCTTAGTTAGTGAAAAAACAATTGTTAATTTCACCAGAATTGTACCCAAAAACTATCAGTTTATGCAAATTTCTGATATCTAACTCACCAAATTATTGATAATCCCCAGCAGCCTAGTGAGTGGCGGTGAGTCTGAAGAGGAAGAAGACGCCCACATGCACAGACTGCGGCCGAGCCGCGCCGCGCGCGCCGAGTCCGTCAGCTCCGGGGAAGATGACGAGGAGGACGAGGGATTCCATCTACTTACTGCTGAGAACCTCTTCTCTACATTACTGGACAGGGTAACACAAGTTTATAATAAGGAACTCAATAATCATATGTGTTTGAAATCCTTATCCGTATAATATTACCAGAAATACTATTTACGATAATCTTTAAAAAAAAAATAAGATAAGCCTATATTATCATCAATTTTAAATGAAAATTACTTCAGTTTAAACTGTTTTCAATAAACAGTGAATTCATTATGGCCGGATAAGGCTTTCATAACATGACAGAATGTAAATACTAGAAACAGCCGATGCATACTTATCTTTAGCCTCTTAACATCTTTAGCGCAAAAATATTAAGGTGGTTGTCCTTCTTCAGACCTGTGATAAAGCTGTACTCTCCATACTACATAAAAGTTTATCAATTAACACATTGAGGGTTATCATACTGATGTTAACCCAAGCCCAAGTTAGACTAAGCAAAGACTTGATATTACCAAGTATTCTATTAAGTCTAACTATAGACTTAAACAACACTAGCGCCTTTAGTATCCCTCATTAAGGCTTCTTCATGTCGGCATAACGTTCCAGGTGCGCGCACTAACGAATCGCCTCAACGGCGAGGAAGGTCCCGGCTTTAGTCAACACTCGCTATTCAACAACTTACAGTCGCCGTTCTTCAACAGGTAATAATCTAGCTACTTCACATTATATGGCTTAGCTATACAATCATACACGGTCAACTGCATACATGCTAAAATGTGCCTTATAAACTAGATGTTTTCTTCAAAATAATGCCGTTACCACGGAATATAGAATACAATGGAAGTAGCTTGAAACAATATTTCTGCCAGAACCGGTGTCGCCAAACTAATACATTCATAATTTACTCATACTATAAACCGGAAATTACGATTGGTTAGAAAAAAAAATGGGCGTAAACGAAATGCAAAAACAATATCATACGATATGCAACTTTAAAACCAATGCACTATAAATCAAAATAAAAAAGTATATTTTGGACTACCAAGTACCGCCATTCGTCGCTAGATGGCGTTTAACAATGCCAAAGTGGTACTTGGTTTGAACTTTAACGTTGTAAGAATAAAGGTGATATTTGAATGGCTTATCACTGGCTCGAATGCGGGTCTCTACTCAGATAGTGATGTAGCCTAATTCGATAAAAATAATATCGATAATATGAAAATGTGTTTTAAAAATAATATGAAAAAAAATATTGACTGCTATAGTGTGACAGTATTAAAATAATAAAATTAATATATCGATGATAACTTTTTAAACGTAACAAAAAAGTGTAAGTATTTATTTACATGTAAATCAAAAACCATTTTGTTCGTATTTTTTATTAGTTTCTTTTTTCAAAAAATCTTTTTTTTTTATTTCACATTGGCAATATAAGTAACAACTATTACATAAATTTTTACAAACTTTATATGGATAATGTGATAAATGAGAGGGATGGCGATAAGGATGACGGTGCTGATCTGCTCCGTGAAGTGAAGGTTGCTTCCAATCACGTCGGGGTCAGCACTAAAATAATAATAAAAAAATAATCTAAATAAATGTTACATTACACTTGCATCGATATCAATCGATAAATTCAATATGTGATTTGACTACATCACTATTTGAGTAGCGTAGAACTGGCGAGAATGTTCTATTGAATGGAATAAATCCAAAATAAACTTTATCTTGAAGGCGTAAGGTTGATTTTGACTAACCGTTTTAGTAAATAATATTATTTTAATAACTGTTTTTGTAAATTGAAATAAAATAAGATTTCTACAAGAAAACAATAAAAATTGTACTTACCGATGATACGGAACACCTCCATTTTTACGATTTTTCGGCTGCTATTATTTTTACACGCCAAAACGGAACAAAACGGCATAGTTGAGGAAATATGTATTTGACACGAGACTAGCAACTCGACGCCATGTTCGAACGAGACTGAACTCGAATTTGCCTCGAGTAAGCAGTGCACAGCTTAGTTGTGGCACGCGTGCTACGCCTACTTGCTACTTCCATTGTATTCTATATTCCGTGGCCGTTACGATATGTAGTTGGCCGTAATCTCTGATATCTTTATAACTTTAATAACTTAAAATGAAGACCTAATAAAACAGGTGACTTAAAATTCAACTAAAATGCTCATTTAAAAAAAGGTGACTTATTCATTATTTAAATAAATTATAATTTTACCTACTGATGTATTCTGTAACGTAGAAAAAACTAAAAATAAATTAGTTTTATTGTGTTAAAGCAATTTTGAAATCAAAGCTAATTTCAGTATCAATATTTCAAAAAAATTTTGGTACTTCCACATATAGGAGATAAATCTTCCATCAACATTTTGGTTTAATTTACATTTCTAACGCCCGAATATTGAAAGGCTACTCAATTTTAAGTTGTACTTAAATATCGTGTCATCTTTGTCATTTTGCAAACAATTTATAGTGACAGAACTATACTAAAGCGGGACTTAAAATTAGCAGCGTAAGCTATTTTAGCTTTTAGATCTCAAAGCCACAAGTCTCACTATCGTAGTCGGAGTCGTTTGATGGTTACTTAACCCAGTCCTTAGCAATGTTTTTTTGGAACAAAATCGTTACTAAGGAATGTTTAAAATAAATCAGTAAATGTTTTTGAGTACGGCAATTAGTAACTTTTTACTAAGCTATTAAGCTCCTAAGCGTAGAAGCCTAAATTCATATTTATAATTGCAATCATTTTTATTCATAAAGTTTGATTATAACAACACGATTTAATTTAATAAACAAATAACCAATCATGCTTAAAGTTCATCATTAATTTCTATCAGATATAATCAACACTTTAATGGATACAAGTGGGTGCAGATTAACGTGTTATTTTATCATTATCATTCCAAACTAAAATAATGTAATTTTATGCATGCAGCCCTCACTTACCACGGAGAAACTTGTTGTGAGTATAACTTTTTATTAATTTTTAAATACACGCTACAGTAACACGATCACACTTACATTATTGCAGTATTCTTTTTTATTAAAATTTGTTATTTATTTAATATACCTATGAATGGATCTGTTTCGTGTCTTATGGGTTCAAGTCCTACTTTTAATAAATATAACGTGATATTTTCTATAGAACAATAGTTTTACAATATTCTGACCTTCTTTCTGATGTAATCTAATTTTATATGCATGGCCATACGTGGTCAAATTGTACATATTTGTGAAAATGTTTTATTATTATGATTACACGCAGCACTCATAGATATGTGGAAAGTAAAAGAAGTGTTTCGGAAACGTAAGTTTTAACATAATATTTCTATTTGTGAGACATAAATAAGGTACCTAGTTATATAATTGTATGGTGGTTGAATAATGTTTGTGCCATTACTGCAGACGCGAGGGCTGGGGCCCGCGAGACATGCACACGGGCTTCGAGTCGATGTTCAAGCCGCGCCAGCACATGCCGCGAGGTGAGTCCGCCTAGCCGCTGCCTGCACATAGCGTACTAGTGCCTGGCGCCCTAGTGCCTAGCGCCCTAGAGCCTAGCGCCCTAGTGCCTAGCGCCCTAGTGCCTAGCGCCCTAGAGCCTAGCGCCCTAGTGCCTAGCGCCCTAGTGCCTAGCGCCTAGTACCGTCTGCTCCCACGCACGGGGAAAACGTTGCACACGCACGCCTAGCGCATGCCACACGCATTTGTTGCTGTAGTTCAAAACATTACAAAATTCTTATGTTGTTTGAATTTTTATAAATGTCAGATTAGACAAAATTGTTGTACCATAAACTTAATTTTTCTTTTAATAATGATTTATGCTTTTGCAATTTTTACTGACTGTTTTAAAAAGGGTCAGTTGATAATATATTATAATTTTTATAATCATGTTTATTGACAATTTTGAATTGAATTTATTTTTCTAGTTCAACCACACTACAACAAACAGTTTATTGAATCAATATCACTCGACTACACTAAATTATTGCACATATTTTTCCTAATTATCTAGAAAATTTAATGTTAGATATTTTTCCAAATTATTTTGTAAAAACACTTGATGTTGTGTAAATTCCGTTTGGCAAAGCAGCATGCAAATCAATTCATCAATTGGTCCTTATTACGAAGTGGTTTTTGTTTCATGTAATTTGTGCTTATGACTCATTACATGGAATGGAATTGAAGGTTCCATCTACATTTGTCATCAGTCCATCTGCTAGTTGTGTGTAGAATAGTAACTTTAGATGTAAATTACAAATTATTATTACAAATGAACGTAACGCACGAAGTTTAGATTTAATATTCAATGTTGAGTATTGAGAAATTACGAGTATACAATTTTAAACTGAAGGATGCCGACAGAGATGAAAGATCAAAAACTTTTATTTTAATTTAGCAGCTTTTGCTCAAATTATCAAGTAATTTATTCCTTTTTACGAGCTGTTTTTGTTTTAATTTGCACAGAACATTTTTATATTGATAAGCTTTTCCACAATAGTTTATTGATGCTGACAAATGTAGTATGGTCCCTATGCTTCCGTAAGGTTGTCGAGTCACCGTTGCACTGCAACTCGCAAGTAGTTAGCGCCGCCTCGCACGGTCAACGACACTCACAAGAAAGCTAGCTTCACTAAAACAAATAAATTAACTATCAAACCATTCCATGAAGTAGCTCGGCCTCGAATACGCGCCACCAACGAACTACAGTAACTATTGCCTCAGATGTTAGCGACGTTTTCCACCGTCGGTTTTGTTTTGTTTTTCCTTTTTTCAATTAACATCAATGTCATATGTGATAGACTATAAGGTAGCGCAGTCAGTACAGACACGCATATCTGCATAGTCTATTATATATTGTGTTCTTAGAGTTCATTAACATTGTTTTAAATAATAACGTTAACAATTTTTGCATCGTAGTGTATTACTGTATTCAAATTGCATTCTTTGTGCAGGTGTTGACTTTCTCCTACCCGCTAACACTAGCAGGAAAATGTTGCGTTGCTCTCGATTATCATAAATTCAATTATTTCAGTAGCGTTGCATGAAATGTACATACATGACATTTCACATGTCGCATCTCCTGTGCCACTGCAGTACATTTTTTAAAAGACAATTTTATCAATTTAATTTTTTCTTTATTTTTCAACAACTATCGAGAATTTTCAGTGGGGTATAAATATTGAGCAATAAAGTATTACGCGCCTGACAGTTAATCGATTTGTTCGTCGAGCGGTCATGGCCTATAGGTAGCTAGTGGATGTGGTAGCACTGGACGTAGCTCACTGCGGCCGGGGCGGCCGGGGCGGCCGGGGCGGCCGGGGCTGGCTGCGGTAGTGAGCTTGTGTTGGTGTGGTTGCAGTTGGGTTGCGCGTTACACTGCATGCTCCGACCAAATCTTCACTTCACAGCGGCACCAGCGCCAACCACAAATCTGCCACAAACGCCACTCAAGAATAGGTACTAAACTATATTTATTTCTTCATTTATGTGTTTTGTGTTCCGCACGGTGCGCCGCGGCTGTTTACAGATCTAGAGATGCCTCTACTATGTGAAATACATCGCTGAAGCCATAATTTAGTACGCATTTGATCAATTACTATCCCTACAGAAGCAACATTTTAATGCATTCTTTTGTGATTTGTTTTCGCATTCTTAAAGCTTACCGTTTGATCTAATTTGACTAGTCAGTATTTAGTATTTGTAGACTATGTATTAACTTTTAACTGATCGCATCGATGTTTGCATCGTTCGTGAATTTACTCGGGGCTCACGAGGCCCCCTCAGTTCTATATTCGAATCTCTCTGTAAAGATCCAACCAGGAAGTTCCGCTCGTAGTTTCCCTTCGCTATCGATCGACGAGCGGACGCCAATCAGATTTGCAATATCGGCACTGTAAATACTCCATGACAGCGAGCGTTCTGCATGATCGAAACGTGTGTTTTTCGATTGAATTTCAGGTAGTAATAAGAAAACCGGTAAGCACCGTACCGGCCAACAACAAAACTCGGAATCGAACGTCGAAAGCGGACTAGACCTCTCGGACTTAGACCTGAGCTCGATCGAGTTCTCGGAGCGTGAGATGCGCGCGCTGTCGGGGCTGACGCCCGCCTTGTCGCGCCGCCTGCAGCGCCAGCTCCTGGCGCACCTGCCGCCCGCCGCCGCGCGCCAGCTGCGGCGCACGCTGTCCCTGCACGCGCCCGCGCCGCGCCCCGCCCAGCCCGCGCGCTCGCTCTCCGCCGACCACGACCAGGCGCCCGCGCCCGCCGCAACGTCCGACAGCCCCGCGACCCCCACGCCCCCCGCTGCTCCCACCCCCACTGAGGTCGCCGAACAAACTACTCCTACTGAGGAGCCTCTGCCGTCCACTGACCATCAGGACACTGCTAAAGAAACGAAAGAGGAAAGTCCGATGGACGCCGCTACACCTCAGTTTTCAACACTTCCCCGCCCGCGAAGGCGATCTAGCTCGAGAGAAGTGACTCCAATCCTGGCTACAGTGGACGTAGAGTGTCCGTCGCCTAATTCACTCATACGAGAGCCCATAGTATCGCGTTCTCGCGAGCGACCATTACTCAGCAAGTACTTGACTCCAGAGCGAACCTTTTCATTAGACGAGTCATACGGGTCGGATGGCGGCAGTGGCACTTCGGAGCCTAGCTACAGTTCATCGTACGGCAACACAGCGTCTGGAGCTGCTGGCGTGGGGTTACGGCGACATTCATTACGCGTGGGCAGTGGCGACCAACCGCGCCGTCGCGTATCGAGGTTCCTTCGTTCAGACTTTTTCGATTCGCCACCAGACGAAAATCTGTACGAGCGCCAACGAAAGGAAAGAGAATTGGAAACCCAAAAAATCTTGCGAGAGATTAGAGAAAAGAGAAACAAATCACAAGAAGCAGCGACTGCAAGAAGTCCCACCGACATAACCGACGCTCCGCCAGCATTCAGGGACGACATTATCGCTCCTAAGAAATCTCTCTCGCCCATTGGGCTCGTTACTGGAAAGGAGCGCAGTAGGTCAAACACTCCGTTTTTCCCGATCCTCGATAACATCAAAGAAACCGCGGTGGATTCGTCCGCATCGACGTCGAACTCGAAACGATACACTAGTTTGGAAAGTGCAAGACAAAAATCAGTTATTGATGAAAACTTAAATAAAGATTCCAGATTGATCCGACCCAAAAGCTATCCTGTGAAGACGTTAGATTCTATAGATGAACCCAGTGAAAATGTACTACCTGAAACTTCGTTTAGTAGGGATTATGATAGTAAAGAGAGGTCCTTGCCGAGGGAGTCAAAATTAATAAGACCTAAAAGTTACCCTGCAAGTAGTCCGTCGCCTGAAAAAGTTTATATTAGTCGTAATATTAAAAAAGAAGATTCTAAAGAAACTTCACCTAAAGATGAGACCGTTAATCCCGAAATCAAGTCCGATATAGAAGTAAGTTTCAGTATTACCTTGCCTAGGAAAAAGCCTGAAGCAGTGACGAAACCTGATCCGGTGAAAAACGATATTAAGTTGGAAAATAATACCGATTCTAAATCGGAAACAGAATCTAAACCTAGTGACTCTACTTTGTCTTTAAAAAAGTATAGTATAATTAAAAATAGAGATAGCGATAAGTCTGAATCGACAGAAGTGAAAACAGAAAACAGTACAATAGTTCCCAATGGTGGACCATCGGTTGATGTAGCGAAAGTTACTTCTAACGGGGACACTAAGCATACCACAGTAGATCAATCGACGAAAAAAGATGAAATAGTTGCAAAAACAGGTGACACTGAACAAACCGAAAAGAAAGGAACAGTAAAGAAAAAGATCATTAGAAAAGTCTCATCGAAATCTAAGACTGACATAGGAAGCAACCAAGATACGAGTGATGCTAAAGTGGCTTCGGAAAAGAAGAAAGTCACTAAAAAAGTAAAAGAAAAGGTTGCTGACGACGATGGTACGAAACCGACAACAGTCACAAAAAAGAAATCTGTTTTGCAATCAATAGGTCATAAGTTAGAAAAGTTTGCATCTAATAAATCTAGCTCGCCTGAAAAGAGCGCTGAAAATAACGCAAAGAATGAAGCGAAGAAAGATAGTTCCAAGTTAAGCAGGTTGCAACGAGAGCAATCAGTGCCCGTCAACGTGGAGCCTACGACCGAATCCAATCTTATTAAAAGAGCTGTCACTCTGACTGATGTAGCCGCTTTAGAAACTCAGAATACACCTCCAACCAAAACTACAGTTTCCAAAGTATTAGGACTATTTAAGAAATTTGAACCCAAGGAAAGGTCAAAGCCTGTTGTTGAAAAAGTGCTCCCGGAAAGTGTTGAACCCCAGACTGAAACCAACGGTAAAACTGAATCAAACACTACTGAGCCCAGTGAGGATAGTCTAGAAAAAGACAAACCTCGCAGACCAACTTCTCTACTTCTAAATGGACTTGGAAACAAAAATAAATACGGTAGAACATCTAGTGACAGCGTCTCCACGTTAACCACAGACAACGATAACAAGTCTGCGTCCAAAAAGGAAAACGAATCCAAGTCCAATATTAGAAACAGTTTAAAATTAGATTTCTCTAGGTTGCCAAGAGTTAAGAAAATAGTTCCTACAAATCCTGTGATAGAACCTCAAATTATGAATATTTCCTCTGTTGACGGTGAGACTGAAAAGAAAGATATTCCAGAAAAGAATGCCATACTTGTAGACAGTAGCTTAAATACTGATTACACAGAACCACAAAGTCGCAGCCGGTCGAGAAGTAGGTCAACTATTTCAAACTCCGAGTTGAAGTCTGATGTTAGTGCTGATAATAAATTACCAGATAGAACCCTGTCACCCTCAGAAAACGCCACAGTACATCTACGAAGTCACGATTCCACTACGCCGGAAAAAGAAGACATTGTCGACAGAATACGTAGGAAAAGCTTTTATTCTAGATTCAACGAAAAGAAGCAACGACGAAAAAGTAGTTTAGTGGGCCCTGGAGCAACTGAGTACGACCCGGTCGCTAGAATACATGCTCAACCGACTGACACTAAGTACGACGTGTCACCGACATCACCGCTCACCTACGACTTGTCTCCAATGTCGCCAGGGCTCTCCGTCTCGTCTGACTTGTCGCCGTCCACGGAACGCTATAGATCTCTTTTAACCGACCTGCCTGTTAACACTAGAAGTAACATAAGATTTGACAACTATGGACTGAATGATAAAATTGATACTTATAGATCTCTCGATCGCAACGACTTTAGGAAATATCCGGGAAGCAGAAGTTATCTAGATTACGATCAACCGTCCTCATACAGTGCGAACAGGTACTCGAGAACGAAATCCCTTTTGGACAGCTGCGATGCAGCGGAGGATAACAGTCTCGTTAACTCATTGAGAGATCCGCACAAATACAACAGAACCATATCAATGTATTCACCTGGTAACTATGCTACTTATAGACCGAAAAGAACCACTCGCAACTCTGCCATTATTTTGAAGGAGAGTGAAAAAGAACCGAGCCCGGAAAATATATTGGAAAAAATAAGGCAAAGAAAAAAGATATCAATCAGCGTGACCAGGAAACCTGACGCTGAGAAGGAAACACTGCCAAGGTGTGTATACTTTTGTACTTACATGTCACGTAAATAATTCAAAATAACTTTCCCAAAGTGAAAGATAATACGATTTTATTCTGTGCACGCTTCACGCTTCCGAATTAAAGTTTATAGCACTAATGCTTTTAAAAAGTTTTACTTCCTATATATAAGCAAACAAAGAAGTTTTGTGAAATATGTAAAATATGCCTCGAACTGTAGATAGTAGATCTAATAAATCACGTTAATGAGCCCACAAAGATATTGCTCGTAGTTACTCTATAAACAGTTTCACAACAGCTACCGACATCATTTAACGTTCAAAATCATGACAGTAGAATTAATATCTGAAATATATAATATGCACTATTATCATTATATTTACACATCACAGAGCAATACTACGAGAAGCAACGAGTCCCTGTTGTGTCTAGCCACATAACGCAAGTGTAATGTTTCAGATCCAATATCTCACCGAAAGGCGACCGCGAAGGCGACGGTGCAGAATGCTCTGAGAAAGTTGACTGAGCGGAATTATTGATTGTGCAGGATGCAAATTGATTTTGTGATTTATATAAGCATTTTTGACAACAAACTTATTGCGAGGACACTGTAGGTGTAGGCGTATCTGATGGAACTTGATGCTTTCATTGTTTTTGTTATAACTTATTTACAATGTCATTAGAGTCTTATTAGTGTTGATCTAATTGAGGGTGTATCGATACTCTTGCCAAACGTAGATTATACACTCACGTGTTTTAGATTTCATGTAAATTAATAGAATCTCATCACCGACAGAAGACTGTCTTTAGTGGCAAACTTAGATAATATTGCAATGAATCTCTCACTGACTTCATAAAATATGACATGCAAAAATATAAGAATACTTTAAGCATTTCCGAATCTAAGGCGTATCAGAGTATCAAATCAAATTAATTATAAATGTATAGATAGTGTCACACAGATTCATCAAATTATATGAGATGATAGTATTTATAAATCAATTTTTATATATTATTGTATATCAACATTGTTGGCTTTCTCTAAAGTGCGGTGCTCAATAGCCGCATATTTGATACGGCTTTCCAAGCTGAACCCATTTTGTTACTGTTAAAATATGCGATTGACTATTGAAGTGTAATAATATATTTTGCAAGAGTGAACTTTTTGTTAAGTGTTTATTGTAAATTGATTCTTATGTGCCTTTATAAAACATAAGTGACTGGATTTGATATAGTCCATTTTATTGAAATATATAAAATGACACAAATTTTAGAGTGTGTTTGCACAAATACGTTTTACTCAACATTATTAACTATAATTTTTCTTAGTTACTATCAATTTACATTTTTTATGTGACCCTAAGTCAATTTAAGTTTAAATATTTATCATAATCATTATAGTATTGAATGCTAAGTCACGACGTAACAGTAATCGAATAGAATGGTGCTTAGACGATTTCATTAGGGATAACTATGTATAGACCGGACGTGTTATAGACTCACACAAACGTGTATATTTTAGCAATAGTTTTTCAGTTTTAAATGTATTGTTATAAGCTGCTGCCGTTTGTTCCACTCGACTAGTACTGTATCAGTGTATACGACGCGGCGGTGGAGCGCAACTCGTTTGTCATAATTCATTTGCTGAAGGAGTGGCTAGTTACATTACAGTGGTGTTATAAAAAGCAATAATTTTACGCAAATCCGTTCATCTTTGTAATTTCGAATCTATTTATTATTTTTATTAGAATTGAAAATTATTTATTGGTGTGTGATGATTTTTAATATTTCTCTTTAGACATAGTTACCGCGGTGACATAGGAACTGTGATTCTCGAGATGGATATTAAATTTGCTATCACACACGTTTTGTATTGAATGTGAATAAATTATATAGTTAAAATGTGTTTTATTATTTGTCTCTCAATTACTTATTACTTGACTGATTACAACTATGATGCAGTAATATCTTAAGGTTTAAGATACTCTTATCAAATTATTTCATGGCTGTATGGAGGACAAGAGTTGGGATTACGCCCGGTTTTTTACGTGTAAATCGTTGCGTATTCATTTGAAAACAAGAACAGGTTTATGATTACTGGATATGAAATTGCGCAAAAATTAATCTAGTTTAGACTTAATTACAAAACAAAAATGGTCTCATCAGTTTATCAAATAAAACACCCAATTTGTATACAGTCTGTATATATTATGATATTTTAAAGTTAGTACCATCGGGAGAGTATACTTTAATTAACAATTAAATATTTATTATGCGTTTACGGTAGTTACATGGTAGCGACGTCCTTCAGGTCCCGGAAGTGTGAGCTGTCCTTCTCAGTCAGTTCCTCCAGGAATTCATCCACGTCGGTGGTGGGGAAGCGTTCCACCCAGGACGCGATCATACCTTCTGCAGTGGCTGGGTAGCGCTTCAGCTCTACCTGTTTACCTGGAAATAAAAAGATTGTAAAAATGTATCTGTTAACTGAATTGAAAGGTGCACACACCTCTGTCAATAATTTAGTAAGAAATATAATACCACCTTCAGTTTTTTTTACGTTTAATACCTAAATACAGGTTGGGATGAGTACACTGACAATTTAAAGTAAATGCTTTGACGAAGAAATAGCCCGAAGGATATTGCATAGAGTAGATAACTTACCCTCGCCAACAATAGTATTAGGCTGCACAAAGATATTGCGTGGCTGTTTGTGCATCAGGACAATATCGCGCCAACGGTTCCACGGCTCGTCCAGCCGACTGTACTTGTTGAACAGTTTTTCTCCAGCTTCCACGTCTCCTGTAGCCTTGATAGTTTGCAGTTTCACCAGGAAGTCTCCTGTAAATGGAGTAGGTGGTTTATATTTATGTTATAATACTTATCTAATGAACTTCGTATGAATTAGTTTCTTATTAAATAAATATCGCAAAAACAAGTTTATAAAATTTTATATGATGAGATTGATATAGTACATACCAATAATTTTCTTGCCGCGAGTAGCAAGATGTTCCCGTTGCAAAGTGAGGAGCAGATTCTTCCCAGGTTCCGACTCCGTGATGGTGAGCATGCCCTCGCCCTCCAGCTCCAACAGACGCATCAACACAAAGCGGGCACGGGCGTGCGCCTGAACATAAAAATATACCTTATTAGATACCTACACGCAGTGTTGGTAATTCTATACCTCTCTCGTTGGTAATTCTATGCCTCGTATGGATTTGCCTCCCCGGCTTATGTTCAGCAGTGGACATATTGTGGTTGACATATTGTGGTTGATATATGGCTAGATAGTGCAAATATTACACAATACCTTACAAACTACTATATCTTATACTATTATATAAAGCTGAAGAGTTTGAACACGCTAATTTCAGAAACTACTGGTCAGGTTTGAATAATGCTTTTTGTGTTGGATAGCCCAATTATGGATTAAGGCAAAAGTATAAAACATCACGCTAGTTACAAGATAAAATATAGTAGTAATAATTGTACCTGCAGCCAAGTCTTGGTGTTTGGTTGGTACATCTCGGTGGCCTTAGCGGCGCCGTTCCACAGCAGACTCAGCCAGTTAACGTACGTCACGTCCTGCGCTTCCTGACCTTCGTAGCCGAAGATTCTGAAAGGGAAGACTAATTTGTAAATGTTTTTTGAAATAGGTATGGAACAAACCTTATTTTAACAGTGTCTTGTTCCCCAAAAGATTGATTTATGATTTTTATTATACAATCGGGGTGACGTTTTCTTTTAAGAAAAAACCCTGTAATTAAATAAAGATAAAAAAATCTCGTTTGATTATGCTGGGTTATCAAAGGGAGGAAACTTTTCCAAATGAAACGTCTTGCACCAATATGTTTTCATTCTAGATCATGCAATAGGCATGGCGACTATTTTTTAATTTTTATCCGTCTTTTAGATATTTTAAAAATCTTCGATACGTATTTTTTCTTTTTTCTCGTATCCAAAAAAACATGTAGATATTGTGAGTTAAAATGACGCATGACGTCACAGTTAGGTACGATTTCTCCGTAAGTGTGACGTCAACACCCCCCACTCCCTAACTTTAATGCGGAGTAACTACGTATTCTTCTGTTAATTTGATAAAATTACTTTTTTGATTTTTTTACCCTGTCGACACGCCTATTGTATCGTAGGGACTCGCTGTAACTCGCGATGCTTCGGAATCTGTTGCAAAAGTAGTGTGCCAGCTGCTAAGCTAAAAGATGATTAAAAATATGTTTATTTCTTTATGCACTCAATCAGTCTGCAACCCTACGAGGATACTTACTTGAGTATTTCAGGTACCAGCGATAGATAGAGACCGACGGCCTCAGCGCGGCACTCTTCGAAAGCAGAGCCGAGGGTTGTGAACTTGCTGTCGTAGGTCTCGCCAGGAGAGTACCACGACTCGATCTGTTTGCCTAAGATAAGAAAAAGGAACATTACACACACATTATAAAAGTACCTAACTTACTCGATTTAACAAAAGGGTACTTTGCATTTATTACATTGGGCAGAATTTCAGATTTCATTTTACCACTGACAATTTTCCAAAATTGTAACTACCCAACACTACTTTGATGATCCCCACTCTCTTGTTTATTAGTCACGCTCATATCCACTTGGTCATCGAAACAGTCAATAAAGATGACGATGGCGTATTGTGTTATCTAAATTAGATTATCATGGAACGAATCCACTTCTATCGTGGTACATAATTATTAATTTATCTGAGTAAGGCGAATTAATTAGTAGAAGATTAACGAATAAATGGTTTCCATTAATTTACAGAACATTAAAGAGAAATTACAGTTTACCAATAATTTGTAATATTGACTTGATTCAAAGAGTTACGTTATTTTCTCTCACGATGAACATAAATTATACACTTTGGAGTAAAGAATCGGAACCACTGCCGTTTTTTTTTTATTTCATTTTATTGAACCAAGATAACTTTAAAACAGCGTTGTCTATCTTGGCGCGGTAGCTGGGCAACTGTCTCCCGCTGAGTCCCGCGCGATGTGTCGTAGGTTAGATTCCCAAACGGAACAACTCTTTGTGTAATTCACAAATTGTTGTTCCGGGTCTAGGTTTCTTGTGTGTGTTAACTTGTTTGTTTGTAAACGCACCCACGACACAGGGGAAAATCGTAGTGTGGGGCAACTGTTAAAATAAAATCATTTTACAAAAAAATGCTTTAAAGTAAATAAATTGGTTTTTATACGACTTACGTGACCAGCTAGTAAAATACTTGAATTAGATTAATACATATTTATCAAGAAATGAAAAAGAAAAAACGCTAGTGGTCCCGTTTCTTTGTTCTTATCTTACCAGTAAGAGGGTTGATAACGGAGTCCTTTTCGAAGTTGAAGCTACCGTCAGCATTCTGCATCAACAGCTTACCACTACCATGGCCGAGCAACTCGTGCAATCCAACTTGTACCTGTCCGAATCAAACAATAGCATTAGGACTTAATTTCCCCAAAAATTAGTATTGAATCAAATTTCTGCCTTATTTTAAAGCACGTAAAAAAGACTTTTGAAAAGCAATTAATATTGTTATCAAAGTAAATTCAGCTTTATTTTAAGACCAGTAAGGTAGTAAATTAGTAGTGCTCACTTCAAATGATGCAACCCTGTATTTCTCCAATAATTCCTTGTCTTTTTCTGAGAGGAAAGGAATGACGGATTCCTTGTACGCAGCCGGGATCACGTTGCCAAGGGATACGTTCTTGAAGCCTTCGTTTTGGCGAATCTCATCGTCTGTAATAGAATTACACATTAGATACTAAGTTAATATTTCAACAAAAAAGAAGTTAAAAAGAAAAACCATATTATTATTCAGTAAACTAAGTTAACAAAAAACCCATTGAACTAATACATACAATTAGGAATGTTAATTCCAGCAGGGATTCCACTTCCAGAGAAAGTGAGAACATCTAAACTGGTGAAATCAGGTCTTAGGAAGTGGTCTTTCTCAAGATCTTCGCCCCAAGGGAGGAACTTGATGAACCGCTCGGCTCCGTCGACGAGATCTCCGAACTTCTTGGACATTTCCTTGTTCACCATGGCGACGAAACCTTCGAACTCACCGCGCTGACCGCTAGGGTCACGGTAAGTTTCAATAAATCCTTGATATCTAGAACAATCAAAGATAATTTTAAATTAAAAAGCTTTTGTCTTGCTGAAATTGCATTATTTTTGGCACAAGAAGTAAACCGGAATCGAGATGTGATAAATATATGTTATTTTTAGTTGTTTTAAAGCAGACTATATGACTTGCACTTATACCGTTAACAATACAAAGGCGATTATGATTTTCAAAAACAGATAGCAATTTACTTACGTTTCAATAATTGGTCCCTTATCCTTGATCCAGTATCGGCTGCCCTCCTTATGCTCGCTCAGATCCCCTTCTCTGAAGCTATTGACATAATGTTCCAGCATGTTCCTCTCATTGTCATTGGCAGCATACTCCTTGGCCTTAATAAGATTCTCGTTTACAAGCTTCAGGAGTGGAGAGTAGTCACCACGAGTTACTTGGAAGTAGGCACCTTTGTACTTCTCAGGAGCCATCGTTAGAGATGGTTTTGGTGAAGACTCCACACTAGCCAATCGGATTGTGTATAGGGGTACTGTTGAAAATAGGTAAACATTAATGTCCTTGCATTACCTACCTATACCTATTTGTGGGGAATAGTCAGACATTGAATTATAAAGAATATAGTGAAATAGTTTATTTGATTTATGTAACATGTTACGTAAAGTATCGAATGTGAGTGGACTAACTTAATTTTTATTTGAAGACATATTTTATAATAACACTTACAGCCATCTTCCGCCTTAGTCTTGAATGTACGACAAATGTATGCTTCAATGCGTTTAGTTTTCATCCAATCATTGACTAA